GAGAGAAAGAGAGAGAGGGTCTTGCCATGTTGCCCAGGCGGGTCTTTGAACTCTTGAGTTCAAGAGATCCTCCTGCCTCAACCTCCCAAAGTGCTGGGATTACAGGCGTAAGCCACTGCTCCTAGCCAAGTCTCTTACTTTAAAATGACCATTACTTACCTTTTAACAATTTAACTTAGTGCATCAAAGAACTGGTATCTACTCAATGTCACAACTGATTCCATAATAAAACAATTATTCAAAGTGGTTCTTCTGCTTCTAAGATAGCTGTGTTCCCCACACTAGTAGTAATATATATTTTGTGTAGCACAAACCCATCTTCCACAGAAACAAAGCCTTTAACAGACATTAATGACATTTATAATAAATGTATACTTTTTTGTTAGATCAGCTTAGTAATTCATTAATAACTTTCATTGCCACAAAGCACTACAGTGATTCAGGACACAGTAGTTTCTTTGAAACCTATCCAAAACCCAAAAAACCCTGGAAGCTAACGGAATGCTCAGGAAACAGATATATATATATATATATATAGAGAGAGAGAGAGAGAGAGAGATAGAAAGATAGAGATATATATATCAAAGGGATATATAAGAAAGTTACCATCTAGATTTTGAGGATGTTTAAGCATACCTGAATTTAGGACTGGATTTACACTTATATCAGCTTCTCTCTTTATTGGGATCTGTATGCAAGGAATAAAAACATAGAAGAAACAGATATTCCAATGCGTTTAAAATGAAAAGAAAGTGATCATTCTACATTAACTTCATCAATTTCACTAAATTTTTTACACTGATTTCTTTATCAATTCTGTGGCCTGGAAGTTGGTGTATTTGTGGTTGCATGGCCCTTTGTATTATAATTGACATCCACATCTATACATTATAATGACAGAAGTTTTCATTTCCAAGCAATTCAATTAACTGTTTTCCTCTGACTGCCAAAATCCCTCACAGTGGAATGCTGTCCACCCAATCCACTTCCGTGTCTGGGAAAGCATGTTTTCCTATGTAGGAGTGATAGCCCTTTCCCTCTTGGTTTTGTATGTCACCTAGGCATCAACTCTAGCTCCTAATGTCTTAAATAGTTAATAGACAAGGATACCGATTAGAAGCTATATTGAGGAGTGGCTGGGTGCACCGTCTCACACCTGTAATCCCAGCATTTTAGGAGACCAAGATGGGCAGATCACTGAAGGTTAGTTTGGGACTAGTGTGGCCAACATGGTGAAACCCCATCTTGACTAAAAATACAAAAATTAGCCGGGCATGCTGGCATGCACCGGTAATCCTAGGTACTAGGGAGGCTGAGGCAGGAGAATCGCTTGAACCTGGGAGGCGGAAGTTGCAGTGAGCTGAGATCACACCACGGCACTCCAGCCTGGGCAATGGAGTGAGACTTCATCTCAAAGAAAAGAAAAGAAATAAGAAAAAGAAGGCATACTGAGGAGAAAAAAATGCTAGGATATATTAGATTAAGGTTTGGATTCACTGGAAAGGTCTTAATCCATAAATCTTTGATTTTACATTTTCTTCTTGGGGGAAAGGGGAAGGAGATAATTGGTGAGCAGTTCAGACACCTGTAATATCAGAGTCTGAGGAACAGAGCCTGGAAAGGAGACTGCAGCCCATACCTACAGGAGGATAGGGCGAGGAGTCAGGCAGATTTTCTTAGCTTAATATTGTTTAACACCTGCTCTGTGTCTAACATTGTGTGAGGCACATTGCAGTATAGATAATCTAACTTAGATCCCTCCCTGTCTCACAGTTTCGCCTATATCTAGGAGAAAGGACACACACATATGAGGAACTTTCAGTAACCCATGAAAGAATTGCTGGAAAATGCAGGGTTATGAAATGTTGCCATTTCAATGGCAAAAACTGCAATTACTTTTGCACCAACCTTATAAAGTACGTATTTCAAAGCTGTATGAGCTGGGAACATGTGTGATGAGCCGAGCTTGCTCTAGAAGGGCAGCAAGAATTAGGTGTAATCAGGATGAGTGTGTAGATCTGCCTGACTGGAGTGGAGTATTAACATGGAAAAGAGAGACTCTGAAGAACAGAGAGCAGGTTTTGGCTTTCTGTCATAACCAATGTGGAGCCTCAGAATGTATGTGGAAAAAAAAGCAGTGACCTATAAACAATGTTTTTCTGCCACAGTCATTTAGTTAGGGTTATGTGAATCAGATGTTCCCTGCTTCAGTCTTTTTTCTGAACGCAGACGAAATTTTTATCCTTAGATAGGACTTCTTCTCTGTGTGCTCCTGTGACCAACTACATGTTTTTAAAAAATGCTTATTGAGAAGGAGAAATCTGGTCCAAAAAGAGAAGGCTGTTCTGATTATTAAAGAAAAAGCTTGTTCACTTTTTCTCTAACTCCACAGTTTTAAGGTCTAATTGTAAGACCCGTTCTTGCCATTTCATTACAATCTGAGGCATGGAATGCTCAGCGAAACTTGAAAAATACATAAGCACTTTGAATTTTGTGGCTCATGGTTCTCCTTGCTTTCTTTCATTCGAGCTGCTAATTGGCTGAAGGCTACTTTGCTACCGTGGGAGCCTCTGTCTTTCCAGCCCTTTTAAACTCAGTTACAAATAGCTTTATAAAAATTTAAACCCCAAATTCCAAACCTTGCTCCCTCCTTAAGTAGGCAAAGCCAACTGCACTGATTATTACTTTTTCATCAACACAGAGAATTATTTCCCTCATGTAGCTGGACAATTATGGTGAGAGGACAACTAAGCATCCTTTTCGCATTGTGGATTTTTCTTAATTTCCTTAGAATACGTTTCTGTCATTTTACTGAAAGAAGACCAAGGTCCAGATGAGGCATTTTCATTGGCTGTGCGTTCTTAGCCTACAGTATAATGAACCATAATGAGTTAATTTATCTCTCCTCTTATACCATGTCTTTTTGTGTCGACAAAACTGAAAATTCACTTTCCCTCACCAAGTTGGGGCATTGGGATAATTGATTGTTACCAGTCTCTGCTGTTAGTAGACAGGATAACACCAGTGCCTCTAGAGAACAGGTGAAAACTAAACTCTGTCCCCTGAGGCCAATGAAATAGCTGTTTGGTCCCTTGTGTGAAACTTCATAATAACTTAACTGGGCAGCCTCTGGGTCCCTGGAGGGTTTCTCCACAAGAGTATTCCCTCTCTTTGTTAAGATTGCTTATTAAAAATGATTTTATAATGAAGTTGCCTCAAATAGCAGCCCTTTTCCTGGTTGTCCTTGAAGCTGTGGTGAAGAATCTTAGAGACAACTGTCTAGGGTTTTCCTCCTTGTTAAAAACTTCTCTCTTACCACTCTTGCTCTTGATTTTTAAGGAGACAAAGTCTAACTGACACAAGTCCCTCTCCGGCTGATTATGTCGCTTAAAACACTGTGCAAGGCATTATTGGTAGTTCAGCTTGTCATTCGGGCCCAGGAATCGAGCTGATCTACATGGAGTGAGGACAGTTAAGTCTGCTGCGGAAACAAGGCTGTCAGGCTTCCCCCCGAGAGCAGTAGCGAAGGAACGCTGTCGCAAACTCTGCCCCTGACTCTAGTAAAACAATGATTGCCAATTATTTTATCTCTTAGGTCCTAGATTTCTTCTGTCTGTAAGCTAACCACTTTCCTGCCACAAGAGACTGTCTTGACGAGGAATTAAATAATAAAAATAGAAATAAATAGAATCATACTCTTTGGGCCGGGTGCAGTGGCTCACGCCTGTAAACGCAGCACTTTGGGAGGCTGAGGCAGGAAGAGCACTTGAGCCACAGAGTTCAGAACCAGCGTGGGCACATGGCGAAACTGCATCTCTACAAAAAAAGAAAAAGAAAATTACCTGGGTATGGCGGTGCATGCCTGTAATCCCAGCTACTCAGGAGGCTGATGTGGGAAGATTGCGTGTGCCCAGGAGTTTAAAGCTGCCATGAGCTGTGATCGCACCACTGCACTCCAGCCTGGGCAACAGAGTGAGACCCTGTCTCAAAAACAAAAACAAAAAGAAACAAAAAACGAACTGTACTCTCTGCTACCCATGGCCTGTATAAATTCAAAAACTTCTGGTAAATGTAGACAGTTAGGAGAAAAATCAGTTTTTTTGTTTCCACACCATAACCTTAACTTCTTGGCTTGCAAGGGCTTAGGTATGGTGATGTATTTAACATAAAATGTGATAAAGCGCATGGCGGGGAGGCTCCCGTCAGAAATCCCTGCCTCCGATTTGGTTTCTCAGTGGCCAAGCGTTCTCAACAAGCAACACAGGAAACAACAAATCATATAAAGTTGTTAGTGACAGATTCCGCTTGAAATATTTTTCTAACTTTAAGGTTTGTCAGGCAGTAAATCTACAGAGCAGAGAACTCAAGGTGTGGCTTGGCGCTCCTTTTGCTTTGCAGTGCGAATATAACAGAACACCAACAGTAAGAGGGACCATTATGTATCTTTGAGGGCAGAGAGCCGTCTTGTCTAGTTGTACCAAGCGTCATTGTATGCTAAGATCGTGATTAAAAATGTTTTGGCTAAATTCTGTTCTCTGAGATGAGATATATTAGAAAACACCAGCCTTACACTCAGTAATTCCTGCTCCCCAGCCAATAAAAAAAGAATAGGAAGGAAAAAGAAAAACTGTGGCCTTCTCTAGAATTCCATTGCTAGCAGAATCTTATTCTACCTCCTTAAGAGCAAGGTGGGATCTTCTTATTCAACCGCCTCTAAGGTTTTCTATCGCCTGAGGAGTCTAAATTCTAAGTATGGCATTCAAGGCCTTTTACCACTTGGTCTTCATCTTTCCGCTGGTGTTTTCGTGACCTCTCCTCCCGTGCAGGCAGTTTCTGCCATCCTCGATGGTCTGTTCCTAGGAGACCCCATGCAGGGGCATACCTTGGTGCCTTTGTGTCTTGTTTGTCCTGGAATGTCCTTCGTCATCTTCTGCACCTGTAAAGCCTTATGGCCCCATCAAAGGCCAACAAGAGTAGCATCTGCCATCCAAAGCCTTCTCCGATTCCACCTTGTTAATTGCTGCAGCTCCTCTGCTCCCACAGTACATTGTTAGGGTGATGGTAGAAAAATGTATTGCAGAATAGTTGATGTTTATAGAGCTTTGTCTACTAGGTATCCTTTAATTTCTTTAGCTGGCTGTGGTGGCTCACACCTGTAGTCCCAACACTTTTGGGAGGCTGAGAAGGGGGGATTGCTGAGGCTGGGAGTTCAAGAACACCCTGGACAACATAGGGAGACCGGTATCTACAAAAAAATGTTTGTAAAATAGCCGTGGATGCTGGCACGTGCCTATAGTTCCAGCTACTTGGGAGACTGAGGCAGGAGGATTGCTTGAACCCGGGGAAGTCAAGGCTACAGTTAGCAGAGAGTGTGCCAGTCCACTCTAGACTAGACTACAGAGCAAGACCCTGTTTCAGTGTCCCTTGGGCCTGACAGAGTGGTCAGTATCTATTATGTGTTCAATTAATATCTGTAGATTTTAAATACGTGTGTCTCTATATGTGTGTATACATATGCAATTTTATGACCAGACACTCTTGTCACACATTTTAGTTTGGCCAAAAATAATGATCTTCTCATTGTTAACAGCTGTAAGAAAGAATAGGCCGGGTGCGGTGGCTCACACCTATAACCCCAGCACTTGGGGAGCCCAAGGCGGACAGATCACCTGAGGTCAGGAGTTCAAG